GCTCTGAGCATGTCCTCCAAAACCTGGTTCACACGCTCCGTCTGACCATCGGTTTGGGGGTGAAACGCCGTGCTAAAGTCCAACTTAGTGCCCAGGGACTTGTGTAGACTCCGTCAAAATACAGTTCCGCCCATTTTTCTACTGTATACGTGGCCTTGCCGGGAATAAAGCGAGCAGACTTGGTTAAACGATCTACAACTACCCAAATCACAGTGAATCCCTTAACCGTCCTTGGTATTCCTGTAATGAAGTCCATAGCCACATCGTCCCACTTCCAGACTGGTATGCTCAAAGGTTGCAGCAATCCAGCAGGTCTCTGTCTTAAAGCCTTTACCTGTTGGCAAGTCAAACACTTGCTAACAAACTGAGCTATTTCCCTCTTCATGTTATGCCACCAGTAATGTTTCTTGAGGTCTTGGTACATTTTGGTACTTTCTGGATGAATCGAGTAGAGAGTATTGTGTGCCTCTCCCAATATGTCCTTCCTCAAATAATAATCTTTTGGCACACACAACCGTCCGCGAAAAAGCAAGGCTGCCTCACCTGAGAGAGTGAAATCCCCATGGCCCACCATACTAAAGCCTTTGGCCAAGCTAGGGTATTCCTTTTGGGCAACAATGATCCTCTGCCTCAGACTGGGTTCCACCGAGAGTCGAGCCAACAGCGCGGAGACATCATCCACTGTCAGCTCTACCTCCAAGCGTTTCAACTCGCTGTGCATTGGACTGCAGATCGCAACCAGAGATGCCACACTAGCTGCCCTTCTACTAAGAGCATCAACCACCACGTTTGCTTTACTCGGATGGTATCTAATCTCACAATCATAGTCCTTCACCAACTCTAACCACCGCCTCTGTTTCAAGTTAAGCTCCTTCTGAGTAAAAAGGTACTTCAAACTCTAATGATCCGTGAAGACCTGAATTCTCTCTCCGTAAAGGTAGTGCCTCCACAACTTTGAGGCGAAGACCATTGCTGCTAATTCTAAATCATGAGTGGGATAGTTAAGCTCATGCGCCCTCAGTTGCCGAGAAGCATAAGCTATAACTTTCCCATGTTGCATCAGCACACATCCCAAGCCCTTTCGTGAGGCGTCGTTGTAAACCACCAAACCTCTCGTCCCGTCGGGGACAGTTAACACTGGAGCAGACACCAAACGCTTCTTCAGTTCTTGGAATGTCTCCTCACACTCGCTGCTCCAAGTGAAGGTGGCATTCTTACGAGTCAACTGCGTCAACGGTGCCGCTATCCGAGATAAATTCTGGAAGAACTTTCTGTAATAACCAGCAAGGCCGAGGAAACTACGAACCTCTGTAACGGAACTGGGTCTTGGCCAATTGCTAACAGCCTCCACTTTGGTGGGGTCTACTGCAATACCCTCCCTGGTGACTATGTGTCTTAGGAAAGCCACTTCGTCCAGCCAGAACTCACACTTCGAAAACTTTGCATACAACTTATTTCCCCGTAATGTAGTCAAAACCTGCCGGAGCTGTTCCTCGTGACACTGCTCAGTCTTGGAGTATATCAGGATGTCATCGATGAACACAATGACAAAAGAATCTAAATACTCCTTAAAGACCCGATTCATTAGATCCATAAAGGCTGYYGGAGCATTTGTGAGTCCAAAAGACATCACAACAAACTCATAGTGCCCATACCTTGTTCTGAACGCTGTCTTCGAGATGTCGGCCTSCTKTAGCCTTAAYTGGTGGTACCCCGAAYGCAAGTCTATCTTCGAGAACACCTTCGCCCCCTGAAGCTGATCAAAAAGGTCATCAATGCGTGGTAGGGGATACTTATTCTTAACCGTAWCTTTKTTTAGTTCCCTGTAATYTATACAAAGTYGCAYAGAACCGTCTTTCTTCTTAACAAAGAGCACGGGCGCACCCCAAGGGGATACGCTTGGGCGGATGAAACCCYTGTYGAGTAAYTCTTCCAACTGTAGCTTCAGCCCTTTCAACTCTACCGGAGCCATTCGATAGGGTGCTTTCGAGATGGGAGCCGTCCCTGGCAGCAACTCTATACAAAAGTCCACTTCGCGGGACGGAGGCAAGT